TGGTTAGCAGTCAAGTGCCTTAGGCACTACGCTACTAGAGCTCTTCTAATTTTTCTATGTCGGCCAATTCTTTTTGGTACAGTGACTCTGTGTATTCCTTCCATCTTCTCTCTATGCTTCCACAGAATCCTTCAATATTGTAACTCAAGGCTTTTGTTCTATTCTTTCAGCTTGAGAAAAAAATCCTTTTGGAAGTCATATCTTTTTCTCATTATAGCCAGAAAACATTCTCTGCTTTAAAAAATTCATGTGACTAGAACAGGTCCACCCAGGTAATCTAGGATAATCTCCCCATCTCGAGGTCTATAATTTAAATCACATTTGAAAAGTCCGTTTTCACAAATTTTAGGGATTAGGGTGGAGACTAGGCTCTTCCCTGAAGTTTTGGTTTGTTGCCCCCCCCAAAAAAAATTTCCTGAGGTCAGACATTAATAATAAACAGAGTTATCTTTCCTTTTAACCTGACCTATTCTCTCTCTATTCAGATCTTTTCTCTATAGGATCCTGTTTTTAGCAGAGGCCCTTCAGGGCAGCAATGCCAAGCCCTTCTAACCAGCATAAGCCTTAGCTGCCTACCTGTCTGGTTACAGCACTATTTGCTACCCTGGGGTCCAGAAGCAGCAGTTTTCTCTTAGCTGTCTCTCCCTGTGGAACTTCCCAGCTGGGGTTAGTTATAGGAGTGAAAGTCTGGCAAACATTCCTCCTTTTCCCCAGGGCTAACAAAGTCTCCTGGGCCTGCCTCAAGGGTATGAGTCAACATCACAGTATCTGAAGCATGAGGGAAGGGGTAGGATGACAAGGCTGACTTGGAACTCAATTCAGCACAGGCTGAATTTAACAGGAACACATTTATTATTGTTAACTTCCAAGTCTTTTACTCGGGTTCAAACAATTAGCTGCCCAAGAACAGGATGGTGGAGTATTGACTTTTAACTTCAATTTTCATGGAGGGAGACCCACACGTGACATGTGTCATGCTAGCCCCCTTAGGAGATAGGGACCAATTCCACTTGTGTGAGTGAGTGACCAGGCTATTGTCCCAATTTTTTCTCCCTTAAATTATATTGATCGCTCTAGAAGGCTGGATTTGAAAAGATAGGGCAAACCCTACTCAACCGGTATCTCTGAAAATAATAATCAAAGCAAACAAGAGTAGAGCTGCCCAGTCAGATGGGTTTGCGGAGGGTTGGGATGCATTGTTTAGTAGCAAATCCTGCACCTCTCCTTGCCACCAGTGCATACATACACACTTAACTACCACCTCAAACCATGGGATTAGAGGGAGACAAGACACAGGAGTATTATGGTTATGCAGGTTACCCAGGTTACCCAGGCCTGCATCCGAGCTCTTCCATTTACTATATGTGCCCTTGGATAAATTTCTTAACTTCATTTTCCCTCGTCTGAAGCAATGATAATTATACCTACTTCACACAGTTGTTATGAGGATTAATATCTAAAAGAGTAGTGCCTAGGCATAACCATAAAATGGCATAGTATGCTAAAAATAATAATAATACAAATGTAAGTCCAATATATAATGTAGTATAAGTAGGTATCCTTTTCTGCTCAAAACTCACTCACTATTGTCGAGTCAGTCCCAACTCACATCAACCCCTCCTTGGGTTTCTGAGTCAGTATCTCTATGGAAGTAGATTGCCCAACCTTCCTTCCAAGGAATGGCTGGTGGGTTTGAACCGCCAGTCTTCTGGTTAGCAGTCAAATGGCTTAGGCATTATGCTACCAGAAGTAGCTATCCTTTTCTGCTAGAAATTAAAATCAAAATTTCAGATTATTAATATGAAAAATGTCTAGGGGATTTAATTAAGGTTCATTCAGATTAAATAAATATGGTCATGGCTATTGGGTACAATAGTCATAATATACTTTCTTATTGTTGTTTTTAGTTGCTGTTGAGTTGGTTCTGACTCATGGTGACCCCATGAATGCAAAATACAGGCATCTGCAGAGGCATTTCAGGTTCAGATCCAGACCTCCACAATAAAATGAATATTTCAATAAAGCAAGTCACACAAATTTTTTGGTTTTCCAGTGCATGTAAAAGCTATGTTTACACTATGTTGTAGACTATTAAGTGTGCAACAGTTTTATGAAAATGTTTGAAATATTGTGAGGATTACCGAAATGTGATATAGAGACACGAAGTAAGCGTATGCTGTTGGAAAAATGGCACCGACAGACTTACTTGACACAGGGTTGCCACACAAGTTTAATTTGTAAAAAGTGCAGTATCTGTGAACCACAATAACAAAGTGCAATAAAATGAGGTATGCTTGTATATACTTTTCAGACCAGAACAAAGGAAGTGACGATTTATATCATACCTAGAGTTAGTCCCTCTAAGAGACTGAGCTCTTATTGCACTCTTTTTCATTATATTTAAAGCTTTCATCCATGATTTTACAAGGAATCAATGCATTTTATTTAGAACCAACATTTGTAATGAAGATCTCAGCCTGTCCCTTCGATAAATTTGGCCCTCAGCAGTAACAAAAATTCTGGATCTCTCTTAGGTCTAGCTTGGAACATGGAGCTCAGTTCTGGTTGGCACAATTAGAAAGGGATGCCACTATTGGCAAGCTGGTGAGGGAGCTTGAAATATGACAAATGTATACTATTGGAAAGAATCTGAGATATTAGGTTGGGATGGCAGGACACAGAAGCCATGAGAGCTGGTGTCACACAATTCAAAGGGCTGTCACCAAAGAAAGTACTAAACACTGTGGTCAGGATTTTATATCTATTATCTAATTAAATTATATATCACAACAAACTATGGCCAGTAAATAAGTAGGTAAAAGGTAACGTGACTTGTCAAAATCCCATAATCCATGTGTGTTCCATCTAATTCAGGGACCCAAGGCTGTCCAATACTAAAGGCCAAGGTCTTTCATCTGTACCTCACCATCACAGTAACATTATGTGTGTATAAGGTAGAGCCCCCCCCCCAATATTTATAGCTATAAAAAATAACGTGAGAATTGTGTAGTGGTGCACTGTCTTCAAAGATGTCCAAGCAAACACTTGATGACTATGTCAAAGATATTGAAAAGATAATTTATTCATGTCCCTGGATGGTATAAATGCATTCAGCTGCCAACCAAAAGGTTGGAAGTTCAAGTCCACCCAGAGACACCTTGGGAGAATGGCCTGGTGATCTATTTCTGAAAAATCAACCATTGAAAACCCTATGGAGCACAGTTCTACTTTAGCACACAGGGGTTGCCATGAGTTGGAATTGACTCCACAGCAACTTTTTTTTTTTTTTTTAATAACTCACCCATACCTTTTTAAGAAGTGGAAATGGATGATCAATGAAGCCACTGTCCAATTTTAGGATTCTGGATTTCTATATTTTGGGGTTGGATATACACTCTAGATGGTCATTCTCCCTCCCCACTTTTTTTCACTTCCTTTGTCATTCCACCACCCTCTCCCATTCAAGCAGATAATCTGTCCTGGGAACATGCCTAAAAGGAGGGATATGGTGGCAGCTGGCAGTTTGGATAATAGCAATAGCCTGCTACTCCCTTTAGTTGTTGAGTCTAAATTTTGATTAAGCTTACTAAGGAGATTGTGTTATATTCCTTTCAGGAAAATCTGAGAAGCAATATACCACCTTCCCTGCCCTACTTTGCCACCAGGAAAACCCAAACCCCTGAATGGAATGCAGGTTTAGGACTAATATTCTGCTCTTCCACCTGAATGGGAGCTTGATATATAAATTAGGTTGAGTTTTTGAAAATAAATTTATACTTCTTATACACCTGAGTGTATGATCAGAGATAATTTTAAATTTGGGAGATGGAGGGTGTGGTCTCTGAGCAACAAGTAATATAATTGTTTGCAGACCTGACTTTTTCTGTCCTCTGCTGCCCCTCTGTGGACACATATTGAAATAACACCTCAAGGATTATCTGGTAGAAGGAGCGTGAAATTGGATTTAAAAGGACACCCCTCTGTAAGAAACGGTGGAGTTTAAAGCCTGGTGGAAGGCTATCACCCACTGGAGGAAGTAAAGAATGGTTGCCATCCCCAGCAAGGCTGGTGTTCCCAGGGGAGAAATGCAGCTTTTCCAAACTGTCCATGACTTCAAGAGGCTCTATTGTCCACTGTCTTTATTTTTCCTTGAGACACTTGGAATCAGTAAATGAGTGATCATCTAAATCCTCCCCATCATAACAACAACAACAAGAAAAAAAAAAAAACTTGCTGCCGTCAAGTTGGATCCAACTCATAGCGACCCCTCCTTGGGTTTCTGAGGCAGAATTGCCCAATCTTCCTTCCAAGGAGTAGCTTGGTGGGTTTGAACCGCCAGCGTTCTGGTTAGCAGTCAAGTGCCTTAGGCACTATGCCACCAGAGCTCCCACTCCCCATCATGCACGTCTGTATTTTTTTGGCCACTAGTAGTACCTACAGGCACAATGCCAACCCTCCTACACCTACTCTTCCTTTGCCTGGAGTAACAAGATGGTGTGTGGGTTTCTCCCTCTGGTTTCACAGCTTTTAACACTAGCTCCTCACCGTCTGTCTTTATGCTACTGTCTCTACACGACTCTACACCATCGCATTCATGCTTTCTGCATCCCTGCTGCACAGGAACAGCATAGAGATGGTCCTTCCATTTGAATAAGTGAGAAAGGGAAACCGTTGGGCACAAATAAGGGAAGGGGCTATGAATTGCTAGGTGTACCCTGGCTGGAATCTAGGGGTGTTCAAATCCGAGAACCATCTTCTACCTATAGATTAGCTGCTTTCTTCCCTGGTCACCCTCCTCCTGAGGCCCCACTACACCACCCAACTTCAATCCCCATCCCCTCTGGACAAACAGAAACAGTGGCTTGGGGCTTAACCTCTTTTTCTCCTGTCTACAGGAGAGGATGGGTTATCTGGGCTGACTGCTACCTGCCACTGGACATCCTCTCTCCAGCTGGAAGCCAGGGACCCCCAGGTGTAGTCTGACCTCCCTTCTCCTTCCCTCATGCCTCCAGACCCTGCCGCAGCCTGCGGTCCAGGGCCAGGAGCTGCCTCAAGAAGCCCCGGTTGGGGATGATGCCTCGATGGTCCTTGACTTTCTTGATGGCCTCCACAAGGGTGAGGCGGTGGTACAGCATGAGGTAGGCCAGCACCAGGGTGGCGGACCGGCTAACTCCCACAGCGCAGTGTACCAGGATCTTCCCTGTGAGGACAGATAAATGAGACAGCTGTGAGAGCATTTGTGGCAGGCTAGAGAAGGCTAGGAAAAGAGCTACACAGACAGGTGAAGAGGAAAACAGGGCAGTAGAGGGTGTGTAGATAGGATGGAGGTGAATGGGGAGAGACACAGGTAGAATGTAATGGAGAACCTGCAGTAGCTGAGTGTCTTTAAAAATCTGAAGAGAACTCAAAGGTCTACACACAACTACTGTAAAATAGAGCTTTGGACAGAGTAGCACTCAGTGAATAGTTGCTGAGTGAAACAAAAGCAAATACTCTTCAGTCTAACCTGGGCCTTTTTAGACTCCCCTGCCTTTCTATCCAGTTCTTTCTCTCAACCATTTATTTTGCTGATGCTTAATGTATTTTGATTAATATTTTTCCTGTTCACTAAAACAAGACATGCTTAAGGTAAAACAACAGCAACAACAACAACAGGAAAGTATAGAAATGTGTAAATAAGCAAAGACATTTTGAAAAAGCACCCATAATGTTAACCATCCAAAAGTAATTTGTCACTCTAAAATTTTGTATTATTTCCTTCTTGTCATTTTGTGTGCTGACTTAAAAAGAACAAAACATATGATTGAGAGAATACAATAGAAACAAGTTGGTATTGGTTCTTCCATTAACATTATATCCTGAGCATTTCTCTTCCAGTCATTAAAATCTCTCTCCATACTTGAACCTTTGAGAGTTTCCCTAATTAATGCTTAATGTCCATTGTTCCTTTCCTCTTCTTGCTATACACTCTTACCTCCTGGCTGGCTCAATGCCCGATGGATGAAGTCGGCAGCTGTCTGGAAGTGGATGCTCATATCAAAAGCTGGTGAGTCATGGGCCTCGACTCCCAGGTAGCGGATTCCCAGCCCCTCATAGGCCTCGGGTGTGCCTCGCCACTTGCTGTGTGAGGCATTGAGGACATGGGTGATTCCCAGGCGACGAAGCTCCCGGCGGTTGTTAGCTATGTCCCTGCATTGAGAAGAGGTTAGAGGGAGGGTGTGGGAGAGACCCAGTCTGCACCCTGTCAACTCCTTAGATAAGGTCATTGGCTCCAGGACTTTACTGAGGACTAATGACCTCACAAAGAGCTCTGGTGGTGTAGTGGTTAAAGCACTTGGCTGCTGACCAAGAGGTCAGTGGTTTGAACCCCCCAGCTGCTCTGCAGAAGAAAGATGAGGCAGTCTGCTTCTGTAAAGATTTATAGCCTTGGAAACTCAATAGGGGTTCTTATGAGTCAGAACTGATTCAATGGCAGTGAGTTTGGTTTGTTTTGGAATGATCTCATGCAGAACTTGCAAGTAAACCAAAAGGTAGTCATTGGAATAGAACAAAGGGATACTGCGTGGTTTAAAATCAGGAAAGGTGTGAATCAGTGTTGTATCCCTTCACCATACTTATTCAGTCTGTGTGCTGAGCAAATAATAGGTGAAGGTGGGCTATATGAAGAAGAACACAGGAAGAACAGGACAATAGGATTGGAGGAAGACTCATTAACAACATGCAATTTGCAAATGATACAACTTTGCTTGCTGAAAGTGAAGAAAATTTGAAGTACTTGCTGATGAAGATCAAAGACAACAGCCTTTCTATGGATTACACCTTAATGGAAAGAAAACACCCCTGAGACTATGGTCCTTAGTCATCATTCAAGACTGGAACTCACCTCACCTCTGAGCATCAACTTTCAGCCAAACAATGCACAGGCCTATAAGGTGAACAATGACACCAAGGTAGTACATATCCCTTAGAAAATCAATCATTCGAGGGAAAAGTGCAGCATTTACCCAGGGATACAGCTCCCATGGCAGGAAAGGAAGGAAAGAATGATGAATGGAAATGGTAAACACTGGGGGGAAGTGAAAAGAATGCTGTCACATTGCGGGGATTGCAATCAATGCCATGAAACAAAATATGTATGAAGTGTTGAATCGAAAAACAATTTTCTATGTAAACTTTCACCCAAATCACAATTGGAAAAAAAGAAAAATTCTCATAATTGGACCAATAAGCAATATTATGATAAGGGAAAAAGATGTGAAGTATCAAGAATTTCATTTTACTTGGACCCACAATCAACACACACAGAAGCAACAGTCAAGAAATCAAAAGATGTGCTGCTACAAAGGACCTCTTTAAAATGTTAAAAAAACAATGACGTCACTTTGAGGACTAAGGTGCGCCAACCCAAGCCATGCATTTTCAATTGCCTCATGTGCATGTGAAAGCTGGACAATAACTAAGGAAGACTGAAGAAGAATTGACACATTTGAATTATGGTGTTGGCAAGGAATATTGAATAGACCAGGGACTGCCAGAAGAAGAAACGAATCTGTCTTGAACAGCTGGAATGCTCCTTAGAAGCAAGGATAGTGAGACTTCATTCCATATACTTTGGACATGTTATCAGGGGGAATCAGTCTCTGGAGAAGGACGTCATGCTCAGTAAGATAGAGGTTCAGTGAAAAAGAGGAAGGCCCTCAATGGGATGGATTTTCAAAAATGAGCTCAAACATAGCAATGTTTGTAAGAATGGGCCAGGGCCAGGCATTGTTTCATTTTGTTGTGCATAGGGTCACTATGAGTTAAAAGTGACTTGACAACATCTAACAATAACAACAATGATCCAGAATGGAGGAACCAAGATGGGCAATGATCTAGAGTCCTGTCCTATGAGGAAGGGTTGATAGTATTAGGAATTTTTACCTGAAGAAGAGAAGACTAAGGGGATGGGATGAGCAATAGCTATAATAAAATCTTTAAGCATGCTATGGTAGTTAAGGTTATGTGTCAACTTGGCTGGGCCTAATTTTGAGTGGCTGGGCAGCTGGATACAGTTATTCTCCATGATGAGACAGGCAATCAGCTCCATGGTGGAATCTGCCATGAGTAGCTGAGTAGCTGCTTTAGAGATGTGATCTCCTTCCAGTATAAAAGGAAAAGCTTTGGGAATGGCCTGAAGCTTTATGGCATACTCAGACCCTGCATGTAGCTGAGTCTTCATTTAACAGTCTGCTACGTTTCCTGCCCAGCTTGGGACCGTCTCTGGAGTTGAACTAGTGGCCTGCCATGTTGTTTGGTAATACTGGGCCTGTGCCATTTTACTTGTCAACCTTGGGCTTGTTAGCCTCAGCAGCTGCCTGAGTGAAGAGACACGTCTTGTTCCAGTGGGTCAGAAGCAAGAGGTAGAGCTGAAGCCCAAGGTCGAGGGGCTTTCACCCAGACCCTAGAGCTCGGGACTTTGAAATCGGACTTTTAGCTTCCAAAATTGTACGAGAATAAACTGTTTGTTAAAGCCACACATTTGTGGTATTTTTTGTTACAGCAGCATAAAGTAACCAAAACAGATGCTCTGAGGAAGTGGGATTTTACTTGATTTGTAGATTCCTAAAGGGTAAAAGTAACATCAAAAGATAGACACTTCAAGGAAACAGATTTGTGTGCCATGTAGAGAGAAGTGTTCTAACAGTGAAATCTCCCTGAAGAATGACTGGACTGCCTGGGGAAAGGGTGATTTTTCTGTCATCATGATATTTAGACGTGGATTAGAGACAAGATCTGCATTCAGGAGTGGCTGTTGCAGAGAAGATATGAATATCAGGTAAGTTGCTGGACCAGCTCACACTTAGTATCCCTGCTAACTTTGGGATTACATGCTCTGACACTTGCTCCCATACCTTGCTCCCCCATTATTTTACCCTGTCTTTGACACCCAGAGTCCTTGTGTATTTTACCTGTTGTTCCATGTCTCACATTTACCCAGCTTTATGATATCACTTTAAGGTGTTTGGCTTACACTCTTCAGCTTGGTGTAGACACCCCTCAGGCAACACGATCAAATCTCAGAGGAAATGCCCTGTCCAGTGCAAATTCCTTGAGTAGAAAGAGCACTGAACTTGAACTTTCAATTTCTGGCTTTGCTACTTAGGACCCGTGTTGCCTTGGGCCTGACACAACTTGTCTGAGCTTCAGTTTCCTCATCTGAAACCTGAGGACAGTGCTACCTACCTCACAAGGCTGTTGTGAAGATTAAGAGAGAGCATTCATGTGAAAAGCTCCTTTTATACTGTTAAGGCCTTGAGAGAGAAGTGGAGATTACTCTTCTTTGAATGCTCGTCTCTTCACAGTCCCATATTGCAGAATCTCTGTATACACTGCTGCTTTTTTGGTCACCAGAAGAACCCCTTCAGTTTACTACCTACTGACGCTGGCTCCCAATTACTGCCTATTTCTAGAGCTGCAATAGGTAGGTCAGAGAAGTAATCTCTTATTCCTGATGCTCAATAAATATTTGTCATTTATTGACAAATTATTGACGGCACTCAATATATGTTTGTTAACTTAAGATATAATTACTTTAACAGAGTCTTTAAGTCCAGAGTTGGATATATCACAAATCCTGCCCAAACTCTCTCAAATCCACTAGCCCAAATGCCCCCTCCCCTCAATCCTCAACCTGGAACCAAGGCAAAGCTCAGAGTCTCTCTGCCACCCTTATCTTTTCTTCTTGCACACACACACATACACACACACACTCAGCTGTGGTTCCAGTCTGCCAGGTACATACTGGTCTCCAAGGTAGAGGCCTGGCCAGACCTCATCGGCATGGTTACAGGCTGTCTTGCCTGTGTAGAGAAGCCTCTCCAATTCAAAGACGTTGAGGAAGGGATGTTGAACAGTTGGCATCTCCTCCAGGGGACCTCTAGTGCGAACAGGAGATCTTGAGCTACTCCGGGAGAAGCGAGCCATAAAAGTCATGGAAGCCCAAAGCCAGTTACCAGGGCACATCTTAGAGGCAGCTACGGGGTGGCTGCAGTGGTGATGGGGTCAGTCACCAGGTAGCTGTTGCTAGAAGAGGAAGGGATGTGAGAAACATCTGCATGAGTTCAGAGCAAGTTCTTTTCCAAGTGGAAAAGTGGGACCAAGTGGGTTGGTCCCTGGGGAAAAGATTTTCAAGGGAAGCCTAGCCTTATGGGGGCCTCTAGGGTTGCCCTTTCTTTCAAGCTGCAGTAGATCCTTTAGCTCTGCTCTTTGGCTCTGTCATGCAAAGAGGTGGGAGAGTCACATGTCCTTGTTTACAGGGAGAGGGAGCTGCCCAGCTGCTGGGTTTCTGTTCTACTCCCCACCCCCCACACTCCGCCCCTGTGCTGCCAATAAATAGACATAAACACACACGCAAACATTTGGTATTTGGGTGTAGTGCCTATTGTTGGGTTCATATCAACCTGAATCTGATTCTTATCTAGTTGGGGCTATAGGCAGAGAGCATAGGGAGCTGGAATGAGGTTGAGGGTAGCTCTGGACCTATCCAGAGAGAATTAGCAGGAAGACAAGAGCAGCTGAGGCCATGACATATGCCAGGCCTGCCTCTCAGTGCCAGTGAGATGGGTTGCCTTAACTTGTTTCTGCCCTGTCACTGCCTCAGAGATCAGCCTGTCATGGGCAGTGTGTGTTGGGGGATGGGATAAGTGGGGGCAGGGGGCAGGGGGAAGGGGCAGGAGGGGAGAGGATAGCAATTAAGAGGAAGAGTAAGCTGCTTACTTGCTGAATGCATGAGTTAATGGACAAAGGTGCCAAACTATGTGCTCAACTGGCTAAACAGCCTCTTAGGTTCAGCATAAGGAAGCTATTGATCAAATTTATGTCTAACCTAAGAATTTCTGAGTCTACATAGGGTTGGAGTGACATGTGTATGTGTTTGTGTCAAGGAAGTGGCATAGGGGAGAAGCAAAGAGAAGAATGAGGGATCCTGCTAGGACTAGGGTCTCAGAGGCTCAGAATTACCATCCGTTACCATAGGCATCAAGTGACCCTACACAGCATGCTGGGTTACAACAAGGGGCTTAATAGGTATGCCTCAGATACGCAGCTGGCCCTTCAGAAAGTGGGCCAAGCTTGGGGCCTCAGAGTCCAACCCAGGAAGATCTAGCCTTTGAGACTTGCCCTGGGACCTTCAGACACGGAAGCAACTGTGGCAAGGCCCCCACTCCTTCTCCTTGAGCACCTATGTCCCTGCATGTTTGAAAATGTGAGCTTGCTGCCAGAATTCCCCTCTTATTCTCTTCCCTGCCTTCTAGCTGAGGAGACCTCAGGCCATTGTCCAGCAGTGAGAGGCCATTTTTATCCATGCCCACACCCTGCTTCCCCATGGCACCCTCACCCAGGGCCCAGCTCTCCCTTTTCCCCAAGGGCCAGGAGAGTGCAAACACAGGGCATAGGAAGCAAGGGCTTTAGGATAAGGATTGGTGAGGATCTTAGGATCTTAGGTTGTTTAGGGAGATTTTTTTCCCCAGTGGCTCCATCAGAAGGAGCACAGAAATATAGCTCTATGGCCATTACCACTACCACAACCATCATCATCATCATCATCTACCTTTCCTCCTCAGGGCTAATATCTCATCCCTTCTTCAAACAGATTCTGCTGCTTTTGTGATGATCAATGTAAGAGCTAGAGGTAAGGAGACCAGGTACAGGAAGGAGCTCCTTGGGACTCTTTTTCTTCGGGGGTGGAGAAGCCCCATTAGGTCCCAGGATACACCCTCAGCATTCTCCAATCCCATTAGTCGCCTTTCAGGGGCCCTAGTCTGCTATCCCTTTCTTTCCTCTGCTGTAGCGGTTCTAACAGGTTCATGGCTGTCGCCCCAGCCCTTGCCAACACAGCTCAGGGCTGAGGGTGCAGGAGGGAGCCCAGGAGAGCACTGCTCGCTGGCTCGGCTCCAATACCCCTTTTCATAACCCTTTCTCCCTCCACCCCCGAGAGGTTCGCCTCGCCCCAGCCTCCCGAGTCAGCGGGCGGGGGTGCGGGCGGGGGGCGACCAGCCCGCTGCGACCCTCCTACCTTTTGCGAGCGGTGAGCGAGGTCTTAGTCGCAAAGGCGGTTTTCAGGTGCAGGCAGCCCCAACGCCATGACTCTCTCTCGCAGCTCCCACTGCTGTCCCCACCCTGCCGACGGCGCTGTTGCCGCCGCCGCCGCCGCCGCCGCCGCCGCGACTGCCACTGCCGGAGAAGGGGTGATGGATTAGCATCTATTTTTAAGCCATGACATGAACGTCGAAGCAGGTTTCACATCACTGTGTGTTGGTGACACACAGGGACACAGTCTCCCTCCCAGTGGTCTGAGTCGACACGTAGCGTGGGCTCCTCCACCATCCCCTCCCCCTCCCCCCATCAGCCGGCCCCGTGTTTACAGAACAGACATACAGACCTATACAGCCAGAGAGAGCAGCACTACCACATATACACATAGGAGGGTGTATTTGTATTTTCTGTAGCTATTCCAACTACAAAGCCAGTTGCCTGAAGCTTACATTATGCAAGTCGTCTCAGACAGTGTCTTACACACACACACACACACACTTCTTCCAGACAAGAATTAATTACATAGAAATGATTATGCAAGCTCACATGTAAGTTCCTCATTCTCAAGCAATTCATATCATAAATAACATTCAGTAACCTTACTAGCACTTACTATATCCCTTTGGCATGAGGACTACTAGTAGGCACCAACAACAGCAACAACAATGGTAACAACATTCTCAATGCTTCCCATTAACATAACTCTCTTATTTTCATCACAGGTCTATGAAGTTGTTATTGTTGTTGTTGCCATTAAGTTGATTCTGACTCATGGTGACCCCATGTGTTCAGAGTAGTACTGCTCCACAGGGTTTCCAAGGCATGAAGTATGTATTAATATTAGCATAGTGCCTAAGGCACTTGACTGCAAACCAGAAGGCTGGCGGTTCAAACCCACCAGCCACTCCTCCGGAAGGAAGGTTGGGCAATCTACTTCCGTAGCGATACCACCTTGGAAACCCAAGGAGGGGTCGCTATGAGTCGGGTCCAACTTGATGGCACATAACAACAATAACAACATTTTAAGAAGAAGGACACTGAGGCACACAGTGGCTAAGTAATTTACTCAGGAGACACAACTCGTTGACAGAGCTGGGTTTCAAACCCTGGCACTTTTTTGTTTTTTGTGATTTGGATGAAAGTTTACAGAACAAATTTGTTTTTCATTTTTCAACAGTTCACACACATTTTGTTTCATGGCATTGATTGCAATCCCCACAATGTAACAGCTTTCTTCCCACTTCCTCCCCATGGTTACCTTTTCCCTGTGCCCTTCTTTCCTATGCATTCCTGCCCTCTGAGCTTTCTCCTTACATAAATGCTATATTTCTGAGCTTCCATGGTTGATTGTTTTAAGTAGTGTACCTCCCTGGTGTAATTGTTCACTTTGTAGGTCTGTCTATTGTTAGGCTGGAAGGGAGTGAGTTCAATTCTAGGGTCCAAGGGTGACTAGAGACCATAGTCTCAGGGTTTTACCAATCTCTATCAGACCAGTAAGCCTGTTTTTTTTTTTTTTTTTTTTCTTTTTTTCTTTTAAATGATTTTGAGTTTTGTTCCACATTTTTTTCCCACTCTATCCAGGATCTCCTATTCTTATCCCTTTCTGAGTGGTTGGCAGTGGTTGTAAACCAGCATCTCTGACATGGGCCTCAGAATGCAGGATGGACTTCACTCAGGAAACCATTTCTACCAGCTCACCTTAGAGTGAACTTCTCTTTCCCCAACTCCTGAAGGAATTAGTGTTCTTACCTAGTCTCACGAACTACCTTCTGATAAAATTTATCTTGCTTTTCAATTAAGATAGAAAGCACCTTGAAGGCAAGGACTGTGTTGCCTTCCAGTGCCAGGTCCATTATGTAATTCTGGAGGTGAAAGAGAGGGTCCTCATTGTATTATTAGTTGATGCTGTTGAGGACCTGGAGGATTCAGATTTTCTCCCAAGAGTAAGGCAGGCAGTGGATAAGGTCAGGCTGGACCTGGGTTAGGATGTGAAGATGATATCAACTGTAGCTGATATTGTTGTTTTTATGTGCCCTCGAGTGGCCCCCGACTCATAGTGACCTCTCCTTGGGTTTCCAAGACAGTATCACTACGGAAGTAGATTGCCCAACCCTCCCTCCGAGGAGTGGCTGGTTGGTTTGAAGCGCCAGCCTTCTGGTTAGCAGTCAAGTGCCTTAGGCACTATGCTACCAGAGCTCCTGTTCCTGGCAGAGATGCAGAATAGGCTTTGATCTCTGGATCAGAGAAAATTCCTGCCCAAATGACACAATCCCTGGATCAGTCTTATGGGAAAGAAGAGATTCCATCACAGGCTGCCATCTAACAGTTTTACCTCCTCACCATTCTTTGCTAGGGAAGCAAGCTCAATTCCTTTAAATTTATCTTGTGCCTTCTTGGTTTAGCTATTTATATGAATAAATTAAATCTTCATTGCTTTAAACAAATAATTGACCTGGGAAATTTGAAAATTTAATTTGTAGATCCAGGGAAACCCAGTTTTAAAAAAATCATCACAAATCAAATTGTGAAAGAGAATATGTTACCAGACTAAGCTCATTTTAAGTGACAAACTCTTTGAGGTTGGTAGGTTAAGAGAATACTGAAAAATTGACCTGAATTTTTAGCAAGACTTCTGTTTCAACCCTGCATTGCTTTTTTTCTGTCAAAATAACAGGGAAGATATTTAAGCCCACCATGGACAATATGGACAAATGTTTATCGATCATGAAGTTGTTCACGATCCACCTCTCCATGAGGAACCTTACTTACTAGGAGTCACTCTACAGCCCAAATGGCTTAATACTTTTCTCAATAAGTAGGAGGTTTACTATGTTTTCAGTTGACACCAAACTGAACCCATGTGTGTAGAGTGGAACTGCTCCACAGGGTTTTCTGTGACCTTTCAGAAACAGATCACCAGGCCTGTTTCT